GGGAGCCCCACAGGTCCCAAACAGCACCCTCAGTGGACAGAAATGCTGTAAACAGGTTAGTTACAAAATACCTGGCAGTGTCGCAGGAGAACCAGTGTGTCCTGGAGACATCACCAGCGAGGGAAGGTGGCCACAGGTCATAGAAATGCCGGAGGCAGAGGAGTAGGAGGATTGATTAGTGTTTCTCATTCCTGCACTGACAGAGGCAAAGGAAGGTGTCATGGGATTTGGCAGACAATGGCTGTTCCTCCTTCTTCCTAATACTAGGACATCCAAATTTCTGATAAGTACACAGTTATCAGAATGAGGACTACCTCTCGGAACCTCCTTCACAGCCGTTACGACCTTAGAATCACGATCTGGCCAGCAGATGTAAAAATCAAGTGCTATGTGTAGTCACCAGGAAATGTCTGTAAAAGGAGAGAAGTCTTTCTTCAAACCTTCCTCCTTCCTTCCGGCTGGAATGCAGATGTAATGGCTGATGCTCTAGCAGACATCTTACACCATGCAGTGGAAGTCAGGGCAGAAGATGGTGAAGTTAACAAGACTGGTCCCTGGTATCAACAACACTGAGCCTGTCCTGCATGGCTAACTTCTGGCTCTCTTTTATGTAAGAGAAAAATACTTTCCCCTTATGTTTTGCTTAAGCCATTATTATTTGGGTTTCTGTCTCACACAGCTGAACTGAATCTTTACCAATAAATGGAGATGAGAATACTTTTTGTTAGCAGAGGTGGGACAAGGACTGTAAGAGAAAGGGGGAGGGGTTCCCTGAACTGACAGAACTGAGGACAGAAGCCTAGTTGATTCTGGGATAAACAGAAGTTGTGAAAGAGGACATTCCTGCAGAGACAGGTGGAGGGTAGGGGCCCCTGAGACTGCCGGGAGGGGCAACGTTGGGCCTTGTGAGTAAGTTGCTGTAGTCGGAGGCAGGCCAGGTCCCTGTGTTGACAAAAGGCTGGGGAGAGACTCAAGCTAGGAAGGATTGTTCTGGAAAATTCTGTCCATGTTTTCGCTTGTTTTGTTCGGGGCAGATTATAAGTGCTTTATGCTTTTTAACGTGGAAGAAGCTTGGTGGTATAGATGAGGCTATTTGACACTTCTACAAAGAAGCGAGTTCAGACTCTCATAGAATAGGAACATGGCCTTACACACATAGATGTCATTCTTATCCAAATCCAGCTTCCTGCTGGGGCACAGTGGTGCATGCCTGTAATCCCAGCAGCTCGGGAGGCTGAGGCAGGAGAATTGCAAGTTCAAAGCCAGCCTCAGCAATGGTGAGGTGCTGAGCAACTCAGTGAGACCCTGCTTCTAAATAAAATACAAAAAAAAAAAAGGGCTGGGGATGTGGCTCAATGGTTAAGAGGCCCTGGATTCAATCCCTGGCACCAAAAAAAAAAAAAAAAGAAATTCAGCTTCTTCACTGCAAGAAGATTCACTCTCTGAACTTTTCTTTCAGTCTCTTCACTTTCACTATCAAACACCAGAAGGTTTCTCACTGCCACTGCTGGAACACTCACTTGAACCATCTTGACCTACCTGGCAGGTCTCGGGTCCCTGGCTACAAGTCAGATATTTTCGGATGATACTTCACTTTCCTGGGCTTGTGTACCATTCCAGAGGCTTGTGTACCATTCCGCTGAGACTGCACTGAAATGGTTTCAGAATCAGTGACACCAGTGACACTTAAAGGACGGGCTTCAAATGTGACATCATCTAGGCCCAGGATGGATGACAACCTGGCATCTAAAATGTTGAGAGTTGTTTCAATCTGTTGGATCCAAAGAGAAAGGTCTGCTGGTTTCTCCTCACAAACAGAAGAAAAATCAAAGTGCACCACAAACTGATTTAAAAATGCCACCAATCTATTCTGTTGAACAGGTGGCACCTTGGTCACATCTATGCCTGAACCCATGAATGGAAGCCTGTCTCATCTCCCTACCGGGTGGGGGACCCAGAGCCCACCCACTGCCTCTCAGGCCTTCCTACTGAAAGGAACAGCTTCTCCCCTCTCTTTGCTTGGCCCCTCTATCCACCTTTTATGACCAAGGGCAAATCCACATCCACCCGATGTCCTCATCACTTTCTAGACCACCCTCTTCCTGCTGAGCCATACAGCCTGTGGCTCCTGGAGAGGTCAGTATTAGACTAACCCTGGGGCCACACAGTCCAGCATAACTCTTCATGTGGCCTCAGACCACCTTCCCAGGACCTCCCTGAGGATTTGCTAAGAATGTTGATTTAAGAACCCTACCCAACACCCAAGGGACCAGCCCCTGGGCACAGCTCCCGTGATGCTGATCTATTCTCAAATTCAGTTGATTGTTCTGGGAAAACTGAGGGTTATACAAGAAGCGTGACTCTCCAGAGTCTCACTGCCAGTCAGCAGAGCACTGGGCAAGCACCCAGGAGTCAGGACCTCCAGTCCAGGCTGCTTCCAATGCATGTGAGGATCACCCAACACCAGCAACTTTTATCCTGAAACTTCTGGAAATGGGGGGATCCCTGCCAACTTAAAAAACCTCTGAGATGAGCGCAGCATCCTCATGGTGTCCCCATCCTCCAACTGGTAAGATAAACCGTAAGGTAAAGTCACCCTGGTGGCCCTGGGCCCATCTCCGGGAGCACAGCAGGGCTCCCTGAAGACTCACACACTCACCCCACTGGACTTTCCATTCAGGAACAAGCCCTCCTCAAATCCTAACCTATTCTCTACAGGGGGGACATTACCTGTTCCTCCATCTTGGCTGCCTGGGCAGCCCTGGCTCTGCACTCCCCCAGCCTGGCACTGGGGGAACGTGCTAATGTGAGCCACGGCACCCCCTTCCTGTCCCTAAGAACTAAGAACTTCATCTCCATTTCTCTTTCTCTCCTGCTCACTGACCTCCCTCAGTTTCTGAGAAGACAATTAAGTTCTGACTGGCTTCAGAACGCTCCACGACCCACCCCTTCCCCGCTGGTTCCCCACAGGGACTGTCCCGCGACAAGCAGGTGCTGCCTCCAGCCCCGCACACACCTGGGCACAGTTCCCTTGGGCTGAAACCACTTGTCTCAACCCAGTTGCCTCAGCCGAGGATTCCGGCCCACACTGGCTGCCTTTTCCTTGACTGGGCAGCAGCAGGCTCAACACTGCCCTCTCCCAGAACCTATCCAGTCCCTTCACTTGCTAAGTCACCTAAGCTATCATTATTTGGTGATAACACTGGGTGATAAATTGTCCCTACCCTCCCAGTCTCCACCGCAAAACGTGGCAGAGGCTTTAAGGTGCCTGAAGAATGGAGCCCGAGCTGGCACGGTGGCATATGCCTATAATCTCAGGTGCTGTGGAGGCTGAAGCAGGAGGATCTCAAGTTTGAGGCCATCGTGGGCAATTCACTGAAATCCTAAATCAAAATGAAAAGGACCAGGACTATAGCTCAGTGGTAGAGCCGGGGTGCGAAGCCCTGGGTTCCATCACCTACACTGCATTAATAAATGAATGAATGAACGAAATCAGAGACCCAAGAGAGAGATGGTGAGAAGTTGTCCCCCGCCCCCTGCCCGGTCCTAGACTCCGGGACCCGAAAGGGTGCCTTTGGCGCCATCTGGCGGCCAGGGCTGCGGAGCTGAGAGCAGACCCCGCGCAGGTATCCCGCGCGGCCTGCGGGGGCGGGTTCCCGCGAGCCCGGGGGAGGATGCTGGGTACGGTCCAGCTTGGAGAGCCAGCTCCGCGTGGCCCAGGAAAGGCTCGACTCTGGATTCAGGCGGACCCGCCACTCTCCGCGAGCCCATGAGACCCGGTGCCTTCGTTCCCAGCTGGTGGCGGATGCAGACCAGGGATGCTGTGGGACGCAGGGCAGCCAGAGAAAGCATGTGCGTGCGCGTCCCCCGCACCACGCAGCGCCCCGCACCGCCGCACGCGCGCGCGCACGCATGCCCCGACGCTCGCCCGCGCCGGCCGGTCTCCCACGCCACGGCCCGGGAGCTCCCCGGCCAACGGTCCCGGATAAGCAGGCCCTGGCACTCGGCGAACTCGCGTGAGCACAGTGCCGCGTCCCGTTTCCACCGACACTTCAGACGCGGGGACCCCGCCGCGACAGCACCTCTCTCATGGATGACCCCATGGAGGGAGGGGCGCGGGGGTCTGTGCGGCTCAGGCCCGCTGGAGCAGGCTGGGGGCGCCCGGGCCAGGCCGCTCCCACCTGCTGGCCGCGGCGACCAATGAAAACTTGGCCTGGTGATGTCATGCCTCTGCCGGACCTTGGTGACGAAAGTCCGAGGTCACCCGTCTGGGGACCAGCGCAAGCCCACCCGCGGGGATTCCGGAAGTTTCCACTGCTGCAGCGGAGTGCAGCCTCGCCCAGCAATCTTGAGCGTGTCACCACATTGGCCTTCCTTCTGGGGTGTCCCCGTGTCACCTCTTTCTTCCCTGAGGGTCTCCTTTCCCCGTGGGAGAACCCCTGATTTCCATCAAGATCCTGTGTTCCCGTCTTCATTCCCACAGGTGTCCCCTCATCCCCAGGAGTGCCCCATGTCACCTTTTCTCCACCAGTGCCACCCTGAAGGGGTCCCCAGTCACACTTTCACGTGTCGCTCCTCCCATGCCACCCCTGGCTGTGTCGGGGACAGAGAGGCTCATTTATTCAACCCCTCGTCCTAGCAATAACTTCCGAGCCTGCGCCGAGGCTGTCAGTGTGTGGGTCCGTCTGTGAAAGTCGGTTTATCTCTGTCACTACAGGGGACTGTCGCCTGCGTGTGTGTCTATCTCGGCAGGCTTCTGTCCGTCTGTCACGTGGGTGTCTGCTCCGCCGCTGCGGGTCTTCAGGTCGCGCCTGTCACGGCGTGTCTGTCCGTCTGTGGGCGACTGTCACTGGAGTGCGTCTGGGCCCCCCGGGTCCACGGGTCTTAGCTCAGGGGGAGGGAGAAGGAGGGGAGGTGGCAGCCCAGGGCAGCGGGGAGGGGCGGGGGCGGAGACAGTGGGCGGGGGCGGGCGGGGGCGCCGTGCGGCCCAGAGGGGTGTGTGCGGGGGGCCGGAGGCGGCGGCTGCCAGAGTCGGCTCAGCCTGCGCCGGGGAACATCGGCCGCCTCCTGCTCCCGGCGCGGCCTGGCCCGGCTCGGCCGCCTCAGGTGAGTCTCCCGCCCCGCCCGGGACCCTCCCCCAGCCGGCGGCCACTCGGCGTGCCGGGGACCGTGCGCCACCGGAGCGATCTAGGCCTCCAAACCTGGCGCCCACCGCGCCCCCGGGCCTGCCCAGCGGCGTCCCCCGCCGCCCCGCACTCCTGGGTAACTCTTCCCTCGCCGCCGCACACTTACCGAAGCCCGCTGGGCCGTCCGCTGCCTCTCCAGAGGTTAGAATTCCTGCGGGACCCCCGAGCGCCCCTTCCCCGCTAGCCCCAAGTCTGAGACCACTAGAAGATGCCCCCTGTTTGGGGCGGACCCCAAACTGCGCAGGTTCCTGGCGCCCTCCTGGATGCCCCTGTACCCAGAGTGGAGCGACCCCAGAGTCCCTGCGCAGAGCCCAGCCCAGGCCCCCTCCGAGGCCTGGGACCCCCTCCCGCGGTGACTCCGTCTCTATTTTGGGGGAAGGGGACGCTCAGCGGAAGCCCCGAGTTATAATTAGCCCAACTCGGGTTTCCTAGTTAATCTCCAACACCACCAACAACCCCAGCTCAGGGAGACAGGGCTGGATGAGGGGTGACCGCCGAAGAGGGGGGAGTTCCGACCCGGGGAATTTTGATCCCTTGGCTGGAGATGCCGGAATCGCAGCAGCTGCTACCCCAAAATAGCGCCCCCGCCCTTGCGGCCGGGGATCTCCGGAGCTCCGGGAACACAGGCGTCCCGGCTCGCCCTTCAGGCCCCTGTGTGATACCCGCGAGCTCCCAGGCCCCCACCCCAAGTTCCCGGCTCCCGGGCTTGGGGCGGAGAGCGCAGTCCTCTTCTCGGTCTCTACTGCCCCCTTCCGGCAACAGCGTGAACTGCAACGCCGGACGGATAGGGTCTCGCATCCTGGGGTCCAGGGCCCAGGAGCCTGTTCGCTGGGAGTAGGCAAGGCGGGGTTTTGCTGATGGGAACCGACGGGTACCAGCGCGCGATGCCCGACAGCAGATGGGGCGAGGCAGGGTAGGGCAGGATGTGGAGTAGGCAGGATTTGGGGTGCTCCAGGATCTGGAGCTCCCACACCTTGAATGTCCAAACCACTTCCCCTAGGGCCAAGGCACTGGCCAACCCAGGAGAGACTAGGGCTGTGCCTGTAGGCCGCGCAAGTTCCCCCAGCTGGAACCGCCCGTCAGTGAGGGCCCCGCCCCTGTCCTGTGGCCTGTGCGTGGACTGCGGCCTCTGGTGCCCGCATTGCAAGCACCCTGCCCAGCCCAAGCCACAGAGCCAGAGGAAGGTGAGGGCGGTGGGCCCCACGGGGCCCTGGAGGGTATGCATTGGCAGATCTTCTCTCTGTTACCTGCATTTGTCTGGGTGCGTGTGTCTGCCTGATCTGTCCCCTCTTGCCTGTCTATGTCCTTTCTCTGCCTGTCTCCTTCACTCCCTTTATTTTTCTCCTCCTCTTGCCAACCTGCCCCACCTCCTCTGCAGCGGAGAGATAATCCTTGGGCAAGATTGTTACCTAATCTCCTCCCTCCTGGCTGCCTGCAGCCTTTACCCTTTGCCTTTCTTTCTCCCAGCAGACGACCGCCTGCCCTGGCAGCCATGAGGCCCCCGTGGTGTCCCCTACACACGCCCTCCCTAGCTTCCCCACTCCTTTTCCTCCTCCTCTCTCTCCTGGGAGGAGGGGCCGGGGCTGAGGGCCGAGAGGACCCAGAACTGCTGGTAACTGTCCGTGGGGGCCGACTGCGGGGCATCCGCCTAAAGGCCCCTGGGGGCCCCGTCTCTGCTTTCCTGGGCATCCCCTTTGCCGAGCCACCTGTGGGGCCCCGCCGCTTTCTACCACCGGAGCCCAAGCGGCCCTGGACAGGGGTGCTGGACGCTACGACCTTCCAGAGTGTCTGCTACCAATATGTGGACACCCTGTACCCTGGATTTGAGGGCTCCGAGATGTGGAACCCCAACCGTGAGCTAAGCGAGGACTGCCTCTACCTCAACGTGTGGACACCATACCCCAGGCCTGCATCCCCCACCCCTGTCCTTGTCTGGATCTATGGTGGTGGCTTCTACAGTGGGGCTTCCTCCTTGGACGTGTATGATGGCCGCTTTCTGGCACAGGTTGAGGGGACTGTGCTGGTGTCCATGAACTACCGAGTGGGAGCCTTTGGCTTCTTAGCTCTGCCAGGGAGCCGAGAGGCCCCAGGCAATGTGGGTCTGCTGGATCAGAGGCTAGCACTGCAGTGGGTGCAAGAGAATGTGGCAGCCTTTGGGGGTGACCCAACGTCGGTGACTCTGTTTGGGGAGAGTGCAGGCGCCGCCTCAGTGGGCATGCACCTGCTGTCCCCACCCAGCAGGAGCCTCTTCCATAGGGCTGTGCTGCAGAGCGGTGCACCCAATGGACCCTGGGCCACTGTGGGCATGGGGGAGGCCCGCCGCAGGGCCACACTGCTGGCCCGCCTCGTCGGCTGTCCCCCGGGGGGTTCTGGTGGCAATGACACAGAGCTAGTAGCCTGCCTGCGGACACGGCCAGCTCAAGACCTGGTAGACCACGAGTGGCACGTGCTGCCTCAGGAAAGTATCTTCCGCTTTTCCTTCGTGCCTGTGGTGGACGGAGACTTCCTCGGTGACACGCCTGAGGCCCTCATCAATGCTGGAGATTTCCACGGCCTGCAGGTGACTAGTGGCTGTCAGGGGTGGACTGGGTTCCTCTGGGTCTCACCCACCCTGCCCCTGCCCTGCCCCCCCAGGGAGCTGGGGATGTGGGCTCCTCCAGACCGACTCTCAGAGGTCCAGGCTTCCGGGCCCGTGGCCACCCCCTCCCCCTGAGGGCTCAGATCCAAGGGTGGTCAGCAGGGTGGAGAGGACAGGAACTGTGGGTGCATTTCCTTTTTTTCTCAGTCCCTTCCCCAATCTCACTCTTCCTCCGTGGTCCTGGGTCTATAACTGTTCATCTCTCTGGCTCTTTGTTTGTCTGTTTCTTTCCACCTGTCTGTCTGTGCCCCCTCCATCCTGTCCTCCACCCCCAGGTGCTGGTGGGTGTGGTGAAGGATGAGGGCTCCTATTTTCTGGTTTATGGGGCCCCAGGCTTCAGCAAAGACAACGAATCTCTCATCAGTCGGGCCCAGTTCCTGGCTGGGGTGCGGGTCGGGGTCCCCCAGGTGAGTGACCTGGCGGCCGAGGCTGTGGTCCTGCATTACACAGACTGGCTGCACCCTGAGGACCCGGAGCGCCTGAGGGATGCCATGAGTGCCGTGGTGGGTGACCACAATGTCGTGTGCCCTGCGGCTCAGCTAGCTGGGCGACTGGCAGCCCAGGGGGCCCGAGTCTATGCCTACATCTTTGAACACCGTGCCTCCACGCTCTCCTGGCCCCTCTGGATGGGGGTGCCCCATGGCTACGAGATTGAGTTCATCTTTGGGCTTCCCCTGGACCCCTCACTGAACTACACTGTCCAGGAAAGAATCTTTGCCCAGCGGTTGATGAGATACTGGACCAACTTTGCCCGCACAGGGTCAGCAGCGCTGGGAAAGGGAGGGTCTCTGGGGGTTAGGGGAACAGAGAGAGCACATAGAGGAAAGGCAGGAGAGGAGAGCAAACTTTCACAAAGGAAATGAGACAAAGGACGAGAGTGGGGAAGACAAAGAAGACCTAGAGAAGGCAGGCAGGATGGGGCCTCCTTCAGAGGAAGGCAGGAAGGCAAGCAAGAGGTAGATGATCAAGGCCAAGACAAAGGAGTTACGAGAGTTAGGAGTGGAATGTAGAGCTGGATTAAACTGGACCAACAGTGATTTTCTCCCTCTCCCTCTCTTTCACACACACACACACACTCACACACACACACTCACACACGTCGCGCACGCACAAACACCAGTTTGTCTGAAGAAGAGGGCAACAAATCTGGCATCGAAGCCAAGGTGATGTTTGTAGAGACAGGACAGCATCTGGTTACACAATAAGGGCTCAATAAATCCTAGCAATTTTTTGTTAATGGGAAAAGACAAAGAGCAGAAAAACTGAGGGAAAGGGACAAAAGAGAAGGAATGCAGGAGGAAAGGGTAGACTCCTAAATGTCGGGGGACACTGGAGAAGGAAAAGGGTTGGAGCTGGGGTGGAAGGGAGGAATGGTGCCCCCAAGAGGTTAAAGAGAGCCCAGGGTCAGTAAGGGAATGCTTCCGCCCACCCCCACCCCCGTCCCCATCTTCATTCCTCATCTAGGAGCCACAGGCCTGAATGGGACTGAGCCTTCCCTTTCCTTCCGCAGGGACCCCAATGACCCGCGCAACACCAAGGGCCCACAGTGGCCACCATACACTGCAGGTGCGCAGCAGTACGTGAGCCTCAATCTGCGGCCGCTGGAGGTGCGGCGGGGGCTGCGCGCCCAGGCCTGCGCCTTCTGGAACCGATTTCTACCCAAATTGCTCAGCGCCACCGGTATGCGGGGGCCAGCGGGCAGGGGCTGGGAACAGGGGAGAGAAAGGGGTCGCAAAGAGAAGGGAGTGGGAACCGGCTGGGTATAACCCCTTTCTTCTCCCCCCAGCCTCGGAGGCTCCCTGCACCTGCCCAGGCCCCGCCCATGGGGAGGCTGCCCCGAGGCCCAGGCCCGGCCTCCCCCTGTCCCTCCTCCTTCTCCTCCACCTCCACCTCTCCCGGCTTCAGCGGCTGTGACCACGGCCTCTTCCCCCTCCGGCCATAGGGGCCCCTCCTCTTATGCATGGTCGGACCGCGGGGAAAGGCCCTTCTCAGGGACCCAGCGCCCCCTCCCTCCTCAAACCGAGAGACACAAACTGGAAAGTCTCAGGGACCCACACGCCTTTGTTTACGTGGAAATGAAAAAGTCATATATATATTATATATAAAATTATCCTTTGGAGCTTGACCCTGATGTTGGGGGCAGAGGGAAGACCCGGGGTTGGATAACACCCCCACCCCCTCCAGCGGGGCTATAACCGTCAACCATTTCTGTCTCTCCTCTTTTCCCCACCAACCCGTGGATCCTCCCCACTCTGATCCTGTGTGTCCCTCCGGTCTTCTGATCTTTTCCTCCTCCTCTCCTTTCTACCATATTCCTCTGGCCCCGCCTCCACCTTCATCCTCCCTCTCGTCTACTGTCTTTCCTGATTCTCCTGATCCTCTTTCCACCATCCCACGTGGCCTCCTACATTCCCCGTGTGTCCCCCCCGCCCTGCGCTCACGCCCCTCCTCCATGTCCTTTCCCCAATCTTCTCGATGTTTTCGTCCTCCCACCACTTGCCGGGTGCCCTGGCCGCAGACACGCTGGACGAAGCAGAGCGCCAGTGGAAGGCCGAGTTCCACCGCTGGAGCTCCTACATGGTGCACTGGAAGAACCAGTTCGACCATTACAGCAAGCAGGATCGCTGCTCAGACCTGTGACTCCGGCGAGACCCCACGTCCCTCCGCCCCGCCCGGCCCCCTCGCTGTATATATTATTTATTAAATGGCTGGGATATAACAGACCAGCCCCAGACCCTGCCCACCCGACCCCGAATCCCCCCGGGGTTCCCCCTCCTCTGCATGTCTCGGGCCGAGCTCCCTCCCCCGCGGTGCCTTCGCCCCTCTGGGCTGCCAATAAACTGTTACAGCCACCGGAATTTGCGAGATTGGGGAGCCGGGGTCGGGGCAGAACGCCGGGATCACCGGGGCCGACTTGGTAGAGGAGTGGGGGCTGGAAGACACCTAACTCGCGATCTCCGTAACGCTGCCCACGGCGCCTGCGCTTAGGGCCCCGCCCCCGTCCCGCCGAATCTCGCGCCTGCGCAGTGAGACTGGCGGATCGGAGCACCAGTGCATGGTGGGAGTCTGTGGGTTGGGGTCGCCTGGTGGTTTCGGTTCCGTCCCCGCGCACATCTCTGGGGCTCGTCCTGCCTGCAGCTAGCCCAGCATCTGAGGCTGAGAAAGCATTGGAACCGGAGTTCTCCCTGCGCCGCTGAAAAGAGGCATCTGGCCGCCCTGGCGCCGCTGAAGGACGTCCACCTGGGCCTAGCCCCGCCGAGTCGAGGCGCCGCTCGCCTGGCCCTCCTTTCGGGCCACTACCTCTACTATCACTATGGTTGCGACGGGCTGGACGACCGGGGCTGGGGCTGTGGCTACCGTACTCTGCAAACGCTGTGCTCGTGGCCAGAGGGCCAGTCTACAGGCGTACCTGGATTGGTCGCCATGCAGGCGGCCCTGGAGGACATGGGCGACAAGCCCCCAGGGTTCCGGGGCTCCCAGAGCTGGATCGGCTGCGTAGAAGCCAGCCTCTGCCTCGCACACTTCGGAGGGCCCCAGGGGCGCCTGTGCCATGTGCCCCGTGGAGCAGGGCTTCAAGGGGAGCTGGAGAGGCTTTACTCACACTTCACTTCAGGCGGTGGCCCAGTGATGGTGGGAGGGGATGCGGATGCCCAGTCCAAGGCTCTGCTGGGAGTCTGCCTGGGCCCAGGCACCGAAGCTTATGTCCTGATACTGGACCCTCACTACTGGGGCACTCCAAAACACCCTAGTGAACTACAGGCTGCCAGGCGGGTTGGCTGGCAAGAGGTAAGCACAGCCTTTGACCCCAACTCCTTCTACAACCTGTGCCTGACCAGACCTAACTCTGACAAGAATCAGCACACCCTGGACTGAGACTGATTGCACACGTGTGCTCTTATTTACTTCCCAGAGGTGTCCCAGCAAAGTGGGACTGTCAGCATCAAAAATAAAGTGGCAAGGCCCAGCTAACCTCAGCCCCTGCTAGTGTCTGGGATGATTTGGGAAGTTGTATAACATACGCTGAGTTACAAGTCACTACTGAAGTGCTTTTATTGGCAGTATGTCTGAACGTACAAAAAAAATTCTCAGCTGATGGGACAAGGCAATCACAATTACAGATGATAGGAATGGGGGACCGGGGACACGGCTCAAAAGAAATCAACATCATCGGGGGCATCCAGATCACGATATTCCACAATGGCCCTTGGGTCTCCACGAACCATCCTATATGATAAGAGGGGAAGCAGGATGAGAATTGAAGGTCCCCAAGTTTTGAAGGGGGCAAGAAAACTTGGGACATCTGAGCTCAGTCTCACCTGTTGCGAGGTTTCCCAGGATAACCACCCTGGCCTCGAAAGGCATCATAGTTCCCTCGGCCGGCACCATATGGGGCATGTGGGTATGGAGGCCCTCCTGTGGGGACTGCAGGGCGGACAGCACCCGCTGTGAGAAAGATCAGTGTTGAATTGAAAACCCTGACCTCAGCCAGGGCCTCAATTTTCTTCCTCCCAGCTACGTGCAACCACTACACCCCTTCAGCTCCCTCCCATACTCACCTCCATAGCCCAAGATGGGCGGCCGGGGCTGACCATAGGGCATCAGGCCCTGGGGAGTCTGGTGTGGGTAGGGGAGTCCCGGGGTCAAGCCTGGGGGGAGTACAACACGGACAGGGACATGAATTACTGCGGGGAGAGGGGAACGCAGAACAAATGACTTCTAGAAATAGGCTTGAGGGTGGGGTAGACACTTCTGGGGAGCGGGGTGACAGGTTAAACAAACAGGAATCCATGGAGGGGAAAAGGGGAGATGCAAGACCCCCCATGGATCGTATCTTACTCTGGGCAGGGCCAGGTGGCTGAGCTGGCTTAATTTCAGGCAGAGCCGGGCGCTTAGCATCCGTGAGAAAGTTGTTAAAAAATGCCACCTCTTTCTTTACTTCCTCAATCTTCTCTGCATGCTTGTTAAAGATATGTTTGCGAACAAATTCAGGGCCCTGGGTGGAGAGGAGAGGGTCAGGACAGAGCAAGTGATGTGGGTTCCCTCATTCCCAGACCCAACCTGGAAGGCCAACAGCCTCCATCCTGCTGGGCCAATGACTATTTCCTTCCAGGGCCTTTGGGGGTCTTCCTGTGACCCTCTCCTCCCAACATTCTACCCCACTAATTCTCTAACATCCCAGACCTTAAACTTCTTGCCACTGAGAGGACACAGCCACTTATCCTTGCCCAGTTCCTGGGTGTTCGAGGTGACAAACTTTTCCACTTCTTGCTCAGGGTCTTTGCGACCCATCTTCTGAGCCTCTTCCTCTGAGAGGGATTCCCGCACACTGAGCAGTGGAGTCAGCTTCTCCTCAAAGGTTTTCTGCCACTCCAACACTGTGGTTGGGACCAGAGATAGTTATTCTGGAGACAGGAGCTGGAAGCAAGGGACAGGAAAGGAGGGGACCAGAGGCCACTGGGGAGAAAATGGGAAACGGAATGGGGCGCTGGAGCGTACCTTCTCCATGACTGATTCGATTGGGAGGCATGGGCCCCCGAACGTGGATGATGCCACAACGATTGGGCATCTCATCCTCGTTGGGGTACTCGCAGGTGTTGTAATAATCCAAGGAATGTACGATGCGCAAATAGAGAAGGAGCTTATCCAACACCTATGGGCAAAGGAAGCCACTGGTCACCACTTCCACCCCTTCACTGCTGAGCCACCCTGCATACCCCACAGTTATAGCTGGCACCTTGATCAATTTCTCGTCCCGTTCCACGTTGATCTCTGCTGGGTTCCCTTCCTTAGGCGGCTCCTCTGGGGGGGCCCCTCCACTGCTCCCCAGCAGCTCCTCTTCCTCAGCACTCACTTCCTCAATCAGGTAGTCAGTGATATTCTTCAATATTGGGTTTTGCGAAGGCAGACTCTGGTCGGGAGGGAGCCGGAGAAGTAAAGAGCAAACCTTAGTGCAGGGAGCCCAGGGACTGCCAGCAATGGAAGGCACCGTGGAACGGAAAGGAGTTCAGGGCTCCCTGGATAAATTCTGACCTCCACCTCCTACCACTTTTCTTATTTTTATACTTGTCCTGCCCTAGCCCACAAACAACGCCATCAGTCTGTCCTGCTGGAAGTTGGACATGTTTCCCAGGGGCAGAAAGGGGCAATTAAGTGAGGATGTGGATGGGCCCAAGGGGTCACTGCTACAGATTAGAGGAGATCAAGTTATCAGGAGAATGAGGTGGTATCAGCTGCTTTGGAAACAGCTTCTTGGGGAGTCACTGACTGTTGGCAGAGGAGGTGTCCCAGGCTCAGAGGCCCAGAGCTGAGTCCTGTCATCCAGCGTATGGATCAGCTTGGCTGCCAGCTTGATGTCATTGCGCACTATCTGTTTGTGCTGTGTAATGCCGTTGATGTTGCGGACACGACGAGTCAGGTCTCTGTTCACACCGGGGCTCAGTTCACATTCCCGGAGCTAGAAAGAACACAAAATCAGAAAGCTGGCCTACTGTCCCAGAAGCAGCAACTCAGAGACTGACCCCCATTGCGAATATCAGTGATTAGACTGTGAGCTCCCTGAGGACAGGGACCAAAAAGTGTCTGTCTTGTCCTCAGAGCTCATCCAGGAACAGAAGTAAAACAAGCAGACTGAACACACAAGGGAGTCAGGTCACGTGGACATAGACAGCCACAGACCCATCCTCCAACAAGCCCCACTCATAGAACTCACCCGGATATTCTGCAGGTTCCAACAGATCTCTTTAATATTAACGCTGCGGTCAAAGGTCACCCAGCCACGACGGAAAAACCTACACAAGAACAAATGTCAGCACGGTCATGGAATGGAGAGGTGCTAGCCATTAACCTCGCCCCTGCATCTTCTCTCCAAGGGGTCCAGTTCCTCACCTCCTCTCAGGCTGAGGCTCCGACAGTGCTACACGCATAAAGCCTGGGTATCTTTTACAAAGCTGCAGGAAGCAAAGTAACAGAAACCCCATTTAATGATTCAGAACTCACCTCGTCCTCCAATCCCCACTCAGAACCCTGGGGAAGTGCCTTTTAATCCCTCCCATCCTCAGGCAAGGAAAAACCAGCCAAGAGTTCAAGAACACCACCACCTGAGTGCCACAGCGCAAGAGGCAGGGGACTCCCTTATCAAAGGCAACCGCAGCAGCACCAGACCGCCTCTCTCCACCGCTACCCCAGGACCTGAGCCTGGGGCCAGCCCTGCGCTAATACCAGCTTCCCCACTCACAGAGATGATCTCGGCCCGGGAGATGTTGGGCGCGATGTTGCGCATGAAGAGGGAGCAGGTCTTATGAAGGGGCCGGGGCTTGCACTCCAGCCCCGCAGCATCCTTGGGCTTCTCCCTGTCCTCCTCTTTGGGCTTCTCCTTTTCCTTAAGTGCTTCTTCTACACGCGAGGGGGTGGGAAATGGTCGATTTTGTTATTTTGGGTGCAGCAGATAGAAGAGCTTTTACCACCCCCAACCACAGTCACTGCCCCCACCTAACACCTCCCCTCAATTTCATCAGCCCCCTGCCCCACAGAGGCCCATGCAGGAGGAGGACTAGACGCAGAAAGTAAGACCTACCAGCCTCTTCCTTCTCCTCCTCAGCATGGCCACTCTCAGACTCCGACTCCGACTCCGACACACTGCCTTCGTCAAAGCTGTCATCACCGCTGTGTTTCCTGTTCCGTTTCTTACTACTCTGTGGGAGCCACGGCAACAGGGTCAAGTCAAGACAGCCTTGACTACTGCCCTCACCAGCTGCCCCCATGAAAGACACCCCACCTTTTTGGCTTCCTTCTCCGAGTCTTCCTTCTTCTCTTCCTTGTCCCCATCACCCTCGGACTTCTTAGTTTTATCGTCAT